ATCTGGTGGATTAGACATGGGGGAGGATATCCATTATCAAACCACCCTGAATTAAAGCGAAATTAGACAAACTGCAAAGGAGAATTGAAGGGACTGAGTACAGATAATAGGTTTTTTGGCTATTTCCCCCTGTAGCTGGAGGGGGAGATCAGGGAAAACTGCACAGGGGGAAAGACTGAATTATTTCTAGGGCTACTTCCCTGACCTAATTTTCCCCCCTCCCCCTTTTTTTGGGCAGGGAACCCTTGGGAGATTCTCCCATGACATCACATCTAGTTTGATCCTAAGGAACAGAACATGTACATCACAACTTCCACACATCTTGAAATCTCTTACAGAAATTAAATACAGGGAGCAAGACTGAAACACCATGTGAAAGAGAAAGGAACACTGCTTTGGGCTGCAAGTAGCTGAGGATGCTGTTGTTCTAGGGAAAGCTCCAACTGGGAGCTGCTTGTATAGTGACAGTTGTATTATGCAGGCAGCTACAGGAAACATCCACTGTACTCACAATGCATGCATGCTAAATACTGATGCAGTCACCTTCTCCAGCTTGCCAAATACTGATGCAGTCACCTTCTCCAGCTTGCCAACTAAGAATAAGGCCCATTGTGGAAATAAATACAACAAGCTTTAGAAAGAGGCTCTGGGTGGGTGCCCTGGCCTTGGGCACTCAGTGTCAATTTGCTGTGGTGACCTCAGCAGGGTATAATGATACAGAGCTTACCGTTTTCTCTAGGGGAACTGATCTCTGCCTTCTGAAGAGCAGTTGTAATTTTGAGTGATCTCCAGCCCTCCTCTGCAGATTGGCAACAATAGTTTTCTAAGAGGAAGTGGCTGGGTTGGAGGATAGAGTCTATGGCATTGTACCTGTCTGAGGTCCCACCCTTCCACAAATCCTACCATCTCTAGGTTCTACCCCTCAGATCCTCAGGACTTTCCCAACCTGGAGTTTTGCAACCCTATCTCTTTCACAGCCAACCATCAACCTGCTTTTATCTACTCCTCTGACTTCAGCTTTCCATCTCCCCCTCCCCCTCCCCCATCTGCAGCCTCTACCTAGGAAAACTACAGTCTTTCTCCGCAGTGGGGACCCAAGCTGGAGGGAAGTGACCTCAGCATGGTAAAATGACACAGAGTCCACCCTGCAAAGCAGCCGTTTTCTCCAGGGGAACTGATCTCTACCGTCTGGAGAACAGCTTTAATTCTGAGTGATATCCAGCCCTCACCTGGAGATTGGCAGCAATGGTTACCCAGGAAGAATAGTACAGTCTTTCTCTGCAGAGGAGACCAAAGCAGCTTACATCATTCTCCTTTCCCCTTTTTGATCTGCATAACAACCCTGTGAGGTAGATTAGGCTGAAAGTCTGTGACTGGTCCAAAATCACCCACTCAACTTCCACAGCAAGAACCTGGGTCTGGCAGACCCTGCTCTGAAGCACTACTAGATCTAGGGTAACCAATCTCCAGGTGGAACCTGAAGATCACCAGGTATCACAACTGAACTCCAGACAACAGATCTCTCTCTCTCTGAAGAAAATAACTGCTTTGGAGGGTGGACTATGGCATTCTATTCAGCTGAGGCCTCTCCCCTCCCCAAACTCTGGTTTCTGCAGACTACCACAAAATATCCAGGAATTTCCCAACCTGGAGCTGGCAACCCTAGTCACAACTGCCCCCAATGAGTTCCCCACAAAGACCTGGAAAGGGCCTCTTGCCTTTGCCTTTTTACTGACAGAACCAAGCTTGGTTGCCTAGCAACAGCCACTGAGGGAAAAGTTAGTCCCACGGGAGCTAAGCAGGAGAAGTTTCTTTGTCAGGAGAGACAGCCGCTTTAGCAGTTTATTCTATCAGGAAAGGCTGGCAGTGTGTGGGGGAGAGGAGAACACCCAGCACCCAGCCAATGGCACGTGAGTACGCTTGAGTGGCATTTGATGGGCCAATGGCCGATGGAGTGCACAGCACAGCCAATTGGAGAGCTGGAAATGGCTAATACGTAGGGCAATTATATATAGGGTGGTATGATGAAATTGGCAGGGAAATACTTTGTAGGTATGCCATACTGCCATACACTGTTGTGCAGGTTGTATAGGGCTATGATGACCTCCCCCCCACCCACAGAGTGCCTAACACCCTCCACATCTGTGTCCCACAGGTTCAGGGTTATAGGTAGGTCAGGAAGTCACATGTCACCACTTGTCTCGCCTTTTAAATAAATATATATATATAGGGAGCCATGACCATTTCACATACCAAGTTCTCCCTCTTACTCACAGAGACACCACCAGACAGGGTAGCCCAGTCTCCTTTAATTACCACCCCTCCCTCAGACATGGCACAGAGCTATTGGGGTTGGTAATGTAAACATTCACACGCTGCCACCATTTATTCGTGTGTGTGTTTCCCTGAGACAACTAGCTAACAGGATTAAACCAGGAATTAACTTTTATTTCTGATTTGAACATAACATTGGAGTAGATTAAGCGGGGGTTACAAAGCTGCTTTTCAGTAGAACTTTCAAACTATTTGCCTATTCAGCATTTGGGTTTCTTCGTTACAATTTGATCTTTTTCCAGTGAGAATTACTCTGATCTTCTCCACAGCTTCACTCAGCCAGAGTAACTTCCCACTGAACCAAGTTCTCTTCATCTCTCCCTCTCACCAACATTCCATCAGCTCCCATTGGCTACTCTTAGGGAGAGGTGGAACCTAACCTATCTGTCACAAGCGCAAACCCAACTACATCAAAAACTCCTAAATAAGTTCCTCTCTTTTTCTGATACATTATTACACGACAAACACATTTTCCCAACAGCTGTGAAAACTGTTAGGAAAAAGTATGCTTAGTTTGCACTATGGCTAGAGCTTGCAATAGCAAAGCATGTGAATTTTTTTTAACAATAAACCAACATATGCCTCCAAGTTTATGATGTAATCAATCTAGATTTGACAGCATGGGAGTGTCAGACTAGGTTTATTGTTCTGCCACTTCATAAATGTTCTGCCACTTCATAAATCTAGTTCGGTTATAATCACTATAATGGATCATCATAATAACCTTCTAAAAGAAAGGTAAATGCTCGGTTTCTGAAAATTGGAAATCATTATATCCACCTGAAATGGAATATTCTGAATAAAACTGAGGAACATTTCAATTTGTACAATTTATCATCATCATAATTTCACAAACTGTGATTGATCAAATATGGACTAGGCACATCTTGATACCAAACATTACACAGAGTTGGCTCAGGAGTGGCACCATTTGAAATATGAATGCTGACCAACTTCATGCAGTAGTGGGGAGGTCCCATGAAGTGACCTTTATTCTTAATTCTCATGAAGAATGGTGGTCTGGGGAATCTGGGCTGCACCCTGTAAGACTGCAGACAGGAAGCTAGGGCCTGTTTTCTTTGTAATTACAACAGGGTAACTGAAATTTTCCCCATAAAACAGGATGAAAATATGAAATAATTTCAATACATTGGTGATTGTTCAACTTTGTATTACCTCATATTTTTGAGAAGCCATTTCTAAGACCTGTGTCAACTTTCAAAGTGACATTAGTTTCATTAATGTTTTATAGATTTTTTAAAAAGTGTTGTGAACATTCTCCTCATTCCTTTCCCTTTGTTTATTTCCCTTCTATATTTAAGTGCATTTAAAAGAGTCTAATGAAATATTTTAAAAAGGAACATTAGAGCAATAAGCAAAAAATCCCTAATTGGTCAAAAAAGGTATGTAATTGCATGTTAAGTAATGTACAATACTAATTTACACATCAGCCAGATACAGAAAATAAATCTCAGTAAGTTCAAGTACTTTCCATCCAAGAAAAGATGCTTGAAGGATCCTATCGATCACGGGCTTAGCTAGCTGAAGAGGGTCTTTCTCACCTTCCTATTCCTGCTATTCCCTACTGAGCCCCCCAAAAGCATGACCATGGGGGGGGGTAGTGATCCCTGAGAACAGGGGATCAGCGGCTGAAGGAGGGAATTGCCTCCCATTCTGCAAATTGAAAAAGGAGGATAGTGTGTCCAGAAGAGGGCAGCCAGGATGGTGAGAGGGTTGGAATCCAAGTCTTATGAGGAAAGGCTGAAAGAGTTGGGAATGTTTAGCCTGGGAAAGAGAAGGCTTAGAGGGAACATGATTGCAGTCTTCAAGTATTTGAAGGGCTGTCATGTAGAAGATTACAGTTACAGAGCACTCCTGCTGCACCCTGGGGCTGTCACTCCACTCCGTGGCCTATCATCCAAGTTCCACTAGAATCCTCGTACACCCTGAGACTGTCATTCCACTCTTGGCCCGGTCCGTGGCCTGTCATTCCAGTTCCAGAACACTCCTGGTACACCCTGGGGCTGTCATTCCACTCCGTGGTCCTCTCATTTCAGTCCCAGAAAGCTCCTGGCACACCCTGGGGCTGTCATTCCACTCTTGGCACTGTCATTCCAGTCCCAGAACACTCCTGGAAAACCCTGGGGCTGTCATTCCACACCTGGCCGTTGTTTTTTACAGAGCCCAGTTCACAAATTATTTTGGTGTCACAGCTGTCACGGAACAGAAAATTAGCATAGCTGATAGTTGCTTGATGAAGTGGTACCCATGTTCTTTAAAATGATCATCCAACCAGCAGGAGACAAAACAGCTAAAACAATAATATATTAAGAAAGATATTTTTTGCATCTCATTAGCATTTTGACATAGTTGGTGCACAAAATCCACCATTAGCCTGGTTGCAGAACTGGTACCTCAGTGTTTAAATGTGAATTTATGTTCACTGTATAATTGAAGTTGCTTTACTACTTGTTCAGAAGAAACTATTTTACATAGTGGACCCCAAAAGAAGCTCTGGTGTGACTGGCATTCAAACGGAAAGTGAATTAATGGAGCCAGTATACTTGTAAGAGAGGTCGGCACAAACAAGCAAATCTTCAAAAAAATCACACTATGAAGGACAACAGTACGGCAGTTCCAAAGGAAATTCTGGAAGAAAATTTGATTCATTTACTTTTCTTATTTTCTTTTCTTGCTTTCCTTTTCTGCTGCAAGGTCTTTAGTTCAGTCATTACATTCAGTGATTTATAAACCCATGCAATCTGGAAATCAAAGCAAAATATTGACATGTGACATTACCGATAGCTATCAAGTGCCTGCATTTGTAAAGTGACAAATTAACACTTACCACAATTATGATACCGTTTAGCAGCAAGGGCACTGAAAATATTAAGGAAATAAACATTCCTCTTGAATCGAAGTACTGGTGTTTTGAGAACAACCTGCAAAGGAGCAGAAAAAAACTCAACCCAGCAGCAGAACTTATGCAATGCTACACTGGTTAACATATTCTACAGGGATCTTGTTTTATCATCCTTCAGAGTTCTATTATTTCTACCAGGATCCTAAGGAATACAACCATTACACAACAATAACCGCGTATCCCATTTCAGTTGTGTTTTATCAGTACGCTCTTCCAAACTTCCGAATGCAAAGCTGAAGTGTATACAGAAGCCCGTATTCACTTCAATGGACAGAGCTGAACCACACGGGCAAATAAAATGTGCATACAAATTGTCCACCCATGTTCAAATGAAGAGTAAACTGGGAGTGGAGAAAGAGATTACTAGCCTGAGGAGTTTAGATGCAATCCAGCTCGGATAAAGCCAAACACAGCTTTGCAATGGTCTTCAAAGGAATGCAAGTGGCATGCTCTTGGTTTCTGTGGGTCACCTGTCAGAGTAAGGTATGCACCCTTGAAAATGCAACACAGCAAAGGTAATAAATGTGCACTGCACATGTCTCCACAGGTCTATCATATATTCTGGGGAACCGCCAATTCATATCCTAAAAGGTTATTTTCATACACCATAAAATACAGTTATAGAATGCAGCCTCCATATAAATAGCTTCAACAGTGAGCCACACGCATCATTACCACAGCAGTGATTTTAAAGCCATAGGTACTCGATGCCATAAGAAACTGTGCCACTTTATACCCTAGTGCTTAATTTCAGCTACTGAATTTTGAAAACATTTTTTCCTAAGTAAATAATTAGCCCCTACGTCTTGCAGCTTGCCACCCCCAACAGCATTTGGCCATGAGAGCTACAGTAACTCTGGAAACACCTTTGCAACACTCCTGCTGTTCAGCAATGCCATTTTCTCTGTCAGGAAGCACAAATTGTCAAAAATTCTCATTTGGGTTTGCCATAACCGGGGGGGGGGGGGGCTTTTCCCTGCTTCAAATCAGTTCCCTGTTCTTCATTTCTCTAAAAAAACAGTTTTTGCTCTCACCTCAAAACTCAGGTCAAATTGACCTGGAGCAATGGGGGAAAAATACCTGATAACACTTCAGTCTCTGCACTCCTTGTTTTCCTCAAGCAGTACAAGAAGATATTAGATTTATACCCCACCCTTCCCTCAAAGTCTCAGAGCGGTTTACTATCTCCTTCCCTTCCTCTCCCCACAACAGACACCCTGTGAGGTAGGTGAGACTGAGAAAGCTCTGAGAGAACTGCTCTTTAGAGAACAGCTCTGAGAGAACTGTGAGTGACCCAAGGTCACCCAGCAGCTGCATATGGAGGAGTGGGGAATGAAACCCAGTTCTCCAGATTAGAGTCTTTTGCTCTTAACCACTACACCAAACCGGTGGTATGAAGTTAATTGCCCTGTAGTGTTTCATGCTCCCTACCCAGTATTTTTAAAATAGCAATGTGAACTTCAGCATTCCAGGAGTCGTTTTCATATAAACTGCACACTGCAAAAGCAACATATAGGCCAAAATTAATAAAATGCTATATATTCCAAGTTTTATATTTTCTCATTTTGGCTGCTATTCTCTGGAGCTGGAGGCTCCACCTCCAGCAGCTGATGGCAGATGTAATACAACTCCCTGGTTTCTTATTTTTGTGGTTGAGTTTGGGGTCTACTCAACTCCCAGACAAGTTTCTCAGACTAGGCCTAAATTACAGAATATTCTTATGTGTGTATTATGGACTAAACAATCTTGTTCCTAATAAAAATATATATATATGAGCCACAGTTCACACTGAAGCCTGTGCTTGGCTCTCCCACAGAAATCTATGGGATGTCAAAACTACTTCGACTGATGCTTTGTTAACAATAAATCTGTAAAGCACCCATGACAACATGTAGCCAAAAAGAATGGGAAATAAATGACTTGGGAGAGGGGGGTCATAAGAACATAAGAACATAAGAGATGCCAATGTTGGATCAGGCCAAAGGCCCATCCAGTCCAACACTCTGTGTCACACAGTGGCCAGAAATACCAGTGCCATCAGGAGGTCCAGCAGTGGGGCCAGGACATTAGAAGCCCTCCCACTGTTGACCCCCCCCCAAGCACCAAGAAGACAGAGCATCACTTGCCCCAGAGCCCCTAGCTATACCTTGTGGCTAATAGCCACTGATGGACCTCTGCTCCATATGCTTATCTAATTCCCTTTTGAAGCCATCCATGCTTGTAGCACCCACCACTTCCTGTGGCAGTGAATTCCAAGTGTTAATCACTCTTTGGGTGAAGAAGGACGTCCTACCTAGCTATACCTTGTGGCTAATAGCCACTGATGGACCTCTGCTCCATATGCTTATCTAATTCCCTTTTGAAGCCGTCCATGCTTGTAGCACCCACCACTTCCTGTGGCAGTGAATTCCATGTGTTAATCACTCTTTGGGTGAAGAAGTACTTCCTTTTATCCGTTCTAACCCGACCGCTCTGCAGTTTCATGGAGTGCCCACGAGTTCTTGTATTGTGAGAAAGGGAGAAAAGTACCTCTTTCTCTACCTGCTCTTTCCTATGCATAATGTTATAAACCTCGATCATGTCACCCCTCAGTCGTCTCTTCTCCAAGCTAAAGAGCCCTAAGCGCTTTAACCTTTCCTCATAGGGAAAGTGTTCCAACCCTTTTATCATTCGAGTTGCCCTTTTCTGCACTTTTTCCAAAGCTATAATATCCTTTTTAAGGTGTGGTGCCCAGAACTGCATACAGTATTCCAAATGAGGTCTCACCATTGATTTATATAGGGGCATTATTATATTGGCTGATCTGTTTTCAATACCCTTTCTAATAATCCCCAGCATAGCATT